ACATATACATGCACACACATATACATACATACACACACACACACACACACACACACACACACACACACACACACACACAGCACAACTTGCATAGTTTGATTTCAGTAAAAACATGACACCAACAGACGGCTCCCTTGCATACAATTAATGTTACACAGTCACCTCACTAGCAGCTAGGCAATTATTCAGAAAGGTAGGCTGTCAACTCCAACCTCCTAAGGCATGGGAAAATTACCCTATCCAGTAAGTCAGTAGTGCAGAAAACCTATATGGGCTGAACATTTGGGCTTGACTTGCAACAGCGGACATCCTGTGTATCTGTGCAATGCATGGTGAGGCTGGCAGCTTGGAGGCTGTTCTGCACAGCACAGGATCCGGCAGGGAAAGTCTCTGCTGTAAGATGTGGGAAACAGGAAAATTTCTGCTCTTGGTCTGAGGGCGTTCCATTAATCCGCACCCAAATACAACGCGAAGGCTGCTGCGAACCAGACGATCGTCACGATAAATTTGAAGAGGGATGGTTGCCCCGCAGAATCCCAGATGTTAGACGATTCACTGAGAACTCAGATCCCTCCCAGCCTTGAGTGCAGCCCATGAGATACAAGCAGCTCCTTCTACCAAATAAAGGAAGCAGTCAGGTTTAACGCTGCTCTGTGCCCTGCAAATGTTCGGTTTTCCACTGCTGCCAAGAGGAGGTCTCCTGCAGGCCTAGCTACACAAACAGCCATCCATCCAAGAAATATACTTACAGTAATGCATTTGGAGAAACGCCCCAAGCATTCAAGTATTAAAAAACAGCTCCTTAAAAGACATCCTTATTATCTCAATATGGGGGAAAAGAGACTGGTGAATTTAAGGTCCCATATGAAACCAATTTCATGCAATTTTGTAGCCACGTATAATTTGTGTGTGTATGTATAATTGGTTTCAAATGCAGGTCACAATGGATTGAGCGAGGCTTCTGGCTGTTTGTCAGTCAAGTGTGCTCCGCCATTGTTTGGACAACGGTTTTCTATTTGGAGGTAACTGGCAAGTGTCCTCCTCGTTCTTGTGTTGAAAGAATTAAAACCGCTATCCTGTTTCAAGGAAAGGATTAATATTGGACTTGAGGAAAGAGCTTCAAATAAATGACATGCTGGTTCAAATGAGCTGTGTTTATTACTCTCCCAATGACTTTGGTCCGCATGTTTGTTTCAATGGCTGATAATAGCCTCTCTCCAGTTTATAAAGCTCTTCCAGGAGGGAGGAAGGAACCTCACTTCTCTTCAGATCTACAGGAAAATGCCAGTTTGTATGGTAATGAATGGCTTTGGTGGAGAAAATTCACTGTCATGGGACCTCTCATCTAATTGTTTTCCTGCAGGGAGTGCGGGGATTGCTTCCATTGAAAAAAAAAATACATGCACATTTACCACAGCCACACCAAGCCTTGGGATATTCAGATCTAGCACAAGCACAGAAACCTTATGCAACATTTTTCCATAGCCAAACCTGGGCATGTTCCTCTATCCATATAGTGTGAAAGGCTTGTTTTCAGGGGGAAGCTCTGGATCTCAGCTGAACTGTTCAGCTGACATCCTTAATACTGAAGCAACCATCATGGACATCTGAGTTTCCAAAGCCCCTAACAGAGTAACTAGAACATGCACTTCTGGGTACATGGGGAATAGTCTCTTTGGGCACCTATACACGTATTCGGGGGGTGGGGTGGAGGGTACATTTGTATTAGAGGGGCTCTCGGGAGCTGCCCTAATTAAAATGCCCACAGTGTCTCATGTGCTCAGTGTCCCCACGTTTCAAAATGGTGGCGGGGGCACTTTAACTAATGCCCATTTGATGAGCTTTAGTTAAAACGCCCCCATTGCCATTTTGAAACCCAGGATTGCTGAATGTATGAAACGCTGCAGCACACTGAAGCATACCGATTAAAATGCTCCAGCAGACTCAGTTAATTGAGTTTGCTCCGACACGTTCAGACCACGTTGGAGCACATGTTAAAAGTTTGAGTTCCAGTTTTGCAGCTGGCCTCATAGGTATCTTTGAGTAAGTCCCTAAAGCCCTTTGGTAAACGGAAACGATGATGCTAACGCTCCCTTGCATGAAAGTCCTACTAGGAACACCATGTCGTTCGTGGGGTTGTCTTCAAGGGAAACTCTACCGTGCATCTGAGCTTTTGAAACAGCGCAATGGAAAGCTTATACAGCGAAAGCTGGAGTGGTGACAGCAGTTTCAAGGGGAACCCTAAAAGTCCAGGTGAGGAAACACTATGAGACGTTTAACTCTTAGCTGTGTCTAAAGACAGTTTTGGTGAGAAGGGGAGGCAAAAACTCATAGAGATAAGACACAGCACAGAGAAAAATGTAAGTGGGCAGAAAACAGAAATTACAGGAAGCAGAGCAAACTGGGCGCTTATGAAGGCTGCCATTCCAGAGGCGCAGAACATTTTGCAAATGCTCATTTATTAACATCTGTGCGAGTCAAATACTATCGTCTCCATTTTACAGGGGTAGAAATGGAATTAAAAAAACCCCATGAAGTGACGTTCCCCAAGTTACATGGTAAGTCAGGGACAGAGCTGGGAAAAGCATCCTGCTCTTCTGAGCCCTGAGGCCTCTTGACTCATTTGGCTATGCTTATAAAATAGCGAGGTTGGCTAACAGAAGGACTGAGCAGACAACTGCAGCAACACTTAAATCTTTAAAAAATATCACAGGAAATGTAAAACCCAGGCATCATCCAGGGCCAAAAACGGCACAGGTTTTGCACACTCACTGAACTTGCATGTTTTATGATATGTATGAGCAAAAATGACATTCAAACACTGCAACATACTTGGCATAAGCTGACTCAGCTGTTTGGCCAACATATTTTTCCAGGAGCCACCGGGCATCTGCATAGAAAACAAAGGCCCTTGGAAAACTGCACCCAAGACAATGTTTTGTGTCTCACTGTCTGATGTATATCATAGATTCAACCTCCTCTGGAGATTAGCGTGAAGCTTTCTATGGAGCCTGCCTGTTGACACAAACTAAGTTTCAGTGTTACACAGGCACTGACTTTCACAAGCAGCCCCTGAAACCCTGCAAAAGAAATCGAGGGAGGGGGGACAGGGGAATAAGGGGGAGACAACAGAATACCTCTGGGTGGGGAGGAAGCAAAAATTATAGTTTAACTTGGAGCTGGGCTTTACGGCCTCTATTGTTGCATCGCTTAAGAAACACAAAGAAAGAACATAAAGTTACCATCAAATGCAGTGGTATTTTAGTTGGTCCTTTGGCTGAGATTTTCTCCCACAGCCCCCTTCGGACGTAGCGGACGGTAGTGCCTGCGATCTGAAACTCGCCGGGAAGCTCAATTTTCCAGTCACTGTTAATGGATCTCTTACTGGAATCTTTTAAAGCTAGAAAGAATCAAACAGCACAGAAGGAAATGAAAGCAAATCCATCATGAAAAGACAGGCCACTGCCATTCAACCCCTAGGCCACTGCGAGAGGCAGTAGTCTAGTTACAGAGGGGAGTTTAAAGGAAAAATAACAGTATTACTGATTTAGGTGAGTAGTGACAAGGGTACGAAGGATCTCTGATCACCTTAACATTGCTCTTACGAAGATGAATGTCACATAAACTGGCACTGCCCAGAGTTTTACCACCTTAGACTTATTAGGATCTGCTTTCTAAAGAATTCAAGTCCTCTGGCTTCTGGCCACTGAGGCGTCGTCTCTGCCTCCCTTCCCTTCCCACTGCCCAGGAATTCAAGGGAAAATGAAAAATTGTGCCATGCCTTCTGCAAATGAAAAGCAAAGAACTTGCAAAGCGATTTGACTGTGCAACACCTACTTATACTGGGGAGCGTACGCTCCCTAAGCAAGTCTCTGGCAGTCAGCAGTACAATGCATGGGCACCAATCTATTCCTTACCAAATGCATTTTGGGACCCACACTAAAAGCATGTTATCACATAACACTTATACCCCAAATTGTAAAGCGGCTCAAATTATTCAAGCGTTTTTCTTTGGCTTTCAAAGGGTTTGAATTTAGGTTTAAACGTAACACTGAAGGACTGCAGCATCTTGCCAATGCACAAGAACCATCAAGCAAAAGCGACTGGTTTCTGACCAGAGGAAGAAAGACACTTACTAGCTCATTTTTTCTCATCCAAGCTGAGTGAATGGCAAACAGTAAACAGAGAGCATGAATTAGTACATGGTGACTTAGATTTACATCATTCTTCCTGTACCGATCTTCAAATGTTACTAGCACCACCAAGTCACATTTGAAATGTGAAGACCATGTGTGTTGGTGTGTGCATATCAAATGTGCGTCAGCATGCAGTCATCTGATATTTTGGAGAGACACGGGCAAAACTTGCACAGTGTTATCTGTTCTGTACCTGATTGAAGTATGACAGCTTAGCAGTTTGGGCCAAAGGTTCTTGTTTAAATCTGTATATAATATGTGCAGAACCTTAATGATTCATTTAACTCTAATCTCTCCTATCAGTGATAATACGGTTTTCTGAATTATTATTAGTTTTAATTCCCCTCCTCCACGCCCCAAAAATTAACGTCTGAAAGATATTTCCTAAATCTTCCCTGGCAGAAAGCTAATGAAACCTCTCTAGGCTCCAAGACCTCAAGGGTCTAAGAGTAATTTTGCTGAGATTACAGGCACTTGCGTTCTGCTGGTGTTGGATAGAGTCCTTGACTCGCCTTTCGTGTGGCTGTCACCCAAGTGCTTTGAATGCAAAGGGTGGGAACTGGCTGTAAGACACCTTTGATCATGCCCTGTGGTATAAGGGTCTAATGGGTGTTGGGACAACATCATGTTCTGGCTGATCCTGAGCACAGTGGCAGCTGGCACCATGCAGTACAGCCCTACGGCTGCTCTTCAGAGGCCTTCTTGGTCACAGGTGCTCCCTGGGTTCGGGAGACGGAAAGGCAGCTCTCCCACTGCAGGATGTAGCTTGATGCTTTGTCTGCTCTCAGATTTGGGGACAAAGGCAAGACAAATCTTGGCTGCTTGTGGGCTTGATGGAACCAGGACAAGATGGGCAGGCACAACAGGCGGCAGGCAAGGCTGGCACACCAAGAACCCTTTCAAAATCTTGTTGATGTTAACATTTGTGCCAGTCTAGATCCTTGCCATGGACACATTTCCACCTGCTGGGGTGTGTCTACACAGCTTGTGAACATCAGCTTTGCTTGGGATGTTTTAGGCAGGACCACAAACTATGAAGGAGTATGAGATGCTGATTCTCACTCCATTGAATAAGCTCCACTGAGTAATGTTGGGCCCAGGTTGGTGCCTACACATGCTTAGGTGCAATGCACCATGGTTAGATATGGGGATCCAGGTCATTATCTTGGGCCTTCAGAAAACACCCAAAGTCAACTGAAGTCCTCTCCTTGAAATTGCTGGGTCTACATCAGGCTGCTGGATAGAGGTGCAAACCACCAGGACTCCAGCACTTGAAAATAAGCTACAGCACAATAAGGACCCAATCCCACCTCATTTTCATTGGTGTAAATCCAGCTGAAATCAGGGGGAGGTTGTGTGTTCTGACTTCAGGGGGTAAAAATATCTCCCCTTGAAAACAGCCCAGTAGGGAAAAAAGCAAGAAAGATCCTAGCACAGAAAGTGTGGAAGGCAACTCTACTAATTTAGAAGCAAAGATATCTGCAATTTCACCCACTTCCCCTTGGAAAGAGCTGCGGCACGTGCAGCCGCTGTCTCAGCTTTCCCTTGCTTGAGGGATGGCTCCATACACAGGGAGCTTTGCATATTCATTTTCTCATTTGCACACTCATTGTAAAAGTGAGGGGCTATTTGGTAAGGTTTGGTGATGAAGACAAAAGTGCTGCAAGTCACAGAGCCGAATCCTGATCTTGCAGAAAGAAAAATCCAGGCTGCCTTCCCTGTGAAGATTCACGTACCATGGATGATGGGGACAGTTGCCTGCGGGTGTTTTCTCAGCACCCGGGTACAGCTTTCTGTTTTCAAGGTTAACTAGACCTCCTGACCAATCTGTTCTTTAATAAAGTGTTTGCTTAACCTGAAAGGTTGAAGACCCAGTTTATTAACTCGCAGTTAAAAAATATGAACCTTGCTTCTAATTAAATGAATGTGTAGGGGGAACGGGGGATGGGACTGGCCTAGGACTCTGTCAAGTTGATGGAAAAGTTCCTGTGGGCTTAACCGGGCTTTGGATAAGCCCTGGCCAGCTTCCACACTCCCTTGGGCTGTCATTACATTCTGTATTATTCTTTAATAAGTTTGGAGGGCAGGACATAAACTTCCCACCAACTGCAGGACTGGCCTTTTTTCTCAGTGGGTTTTAAGCAAGCGTGAAGCATGTGTATAAGCACAGGGGACCGTTCGTTAATGATCTTCCTCACCTGAGGTGGCCAAAGACTCAGGTAACACGTGACGTGGGTACTACTAAGGAGCGTGCTTTGAGAACCGAGAGGTGAGATCGCCCCGACTGCAGGAGAAAGCAAGAGAGTACCATGAGGATGTCGGGGGTCCTAATGGCATTAGCTCGGGGCCTCTGGCCCCATAAACTTCCTCAACTCAGACAGGGAGAGTCTCATAGGAATGGTCCCTTCTACGCACAGATTTGAGTAGTGTGACTGCCCTGGTATTAATGGCACCACAAGACAGTTTGTGACTTGTTTGATTGTTAAAAAAAAAAAAGACAAGAAGCCCTTGATTGTTGATTGAAAACCGTCCAGAGCCACAGCAGGTTGTGAGGAGGCTGCTTTGTTCCCCACAACGGTGAAGCCACCTCTGCAGCATGTTGGGACGAGCATTTCATGGGCGCAGGACAACCCAGAACGCGACCAAGTGTCCATCCAGTAAAAGTCCCGGGTAGGATGCAACTACATCTGCTGGGAAACAGCTCCTTACTCGGTGTCTGAGGCAAGCACTCCTACTCTTGCAAAAGACCCTGGGGGGAGGGGGTTAACAAGAGCATCGAATAAGCAACTTTACTCTGCTTTTATAGGCAAACTGAGGCACAGAGCGAGGAAAAAGGCCACCCAAATGGATCAGCAGCAAAGCTGCAAACAGAGCCTAGGGACAGGTTCTTTTTTCTGCCAGGAACTGTTTGAATTTGAATGAACACAATCAATCAGGGAGGAAAGTCTAGCTCTCCGGCAGCCCGGCCTTCTGTTTAAACTAGAGTAGCAGGTGGGTTACCTCACAAGATGGTAGGGCCTCTGCAAGCTGGAGTGGCATAACTCCTTCTCTTCTTCACCCCTACACCCGTGTGGCTGGAAGGATGGCTGGATGTGAAGCCAGCTCTTCCAGCTTTACTCCAAGCGAGAATTCTCCTCTCCTCTAAAGGAGCTGTCATCTAGCAGCACAAAGGCAGCAGAGTGCACTGTGCAATGGGTCATGCACCTTCTGGGTACTTACTACCACCCAACTCCTCTGGGGTCTTCACTTTGCACTGGGGCTGTCCCGGTAAAAACCACTTCACTGCACTGTGCAATGGGATATGCACCTTCTGGCTACCCAACTCCTCCAGGGTCTTTGTCTTGCACTGGGGCTGTCCCGGCAATAACCACTGCACTGTGCAATGGGACATGCACCTTCTGGCTACTTACTACTACCCAACTCCTCCAGGGCCTTCACCTTGCACTAGGGCTGTCCAAGCAATAGCCGAAGCTACTGTTCCTGATCAGGAACCCATGTCTGACAGCTCATATTTTGTCTGTCCTACGCTGTGAACTCTTCAGGAGTAGAAAGCCTACAGAAATGGTTAACACTGAGCAGCCAGGACAGACTGCCAATGAGACATGACTTTCTTCTGGAGGTATCAGGTATTTTTTTTTATCTTGCATCTCTGCTCTCTGGCTCAAACTTGTACAGTAGAAAATTAAGAAATAAAACCAAACTAAACTCCTTTAACTGTTCTTTTACTCTTAGGCTAGGGGACAGGAACCTACCAATCAGCCTATATCTAAACCTGGCATCCAGTCAAACTTTTATTTCCACTCAGAGTTCCCCCGACTCACTTCCCAGCCCGTGGACACAGACTGCAGAGGCGTTTCCTGTTCAAGGTGGTTTTTAAGTATTAAAGCCAGCTAAGTCAGCCAGCGTGGGCTGAATGTGGGTGAGGGGGTGGGAGGAAATTCTTCAGGAACTGCTCCCAGCAAATGCAATAAAGATTTCAAATTACATTGAGTTCATTTCCAAAGTGCTATACCCAGGCCTGGTTGGAAGCAGGGATTCATTGGGCTAAATTTCACAAGTGTTATTAAAAGGGGGAATCTTTCCAAGCTTAGGCCCTGTGTTAAAATGCAAGTGCATCCCTCGTGCCTTACTGAAATCACAGCGGGTGGAATCTGATTTCCCAGATATCTTGTCTATCTGGCCAAAGGCTCACTGTTGATATCCTGAGGCTTAGGATAACAGGACACTGCATAGTTTTCTGTGGCTGGTGTCATGAGAAAGAGAGCGTTTTGGAAGGCACAAGCAGGTCTTTCTGGCTACCAGCCATGAACTTTGAGCTGAAATAATATTGGGGGACTTCCATGAAGCCAGATGACTAACAAGCACTGCAGGTGGGAGAAACTCTCTTGGCCCTTACTTAAATGCCCAGATATTTTAAATATTGTGCATGACTGGGCTAGCAGTAACAGTACCACAGCAAGATCCTGGTGCTGGGGTGTTTCAGCCTTTCTTTTACCAGGTGGAAAGGGGCAGAATTATAGAGACAATGAGAGAGAAAAAACGATCCTGGGATTGTTAAGCAGCTCACACTGATTTGGTGCAAGCGTGGAATGAAGATCTGCACGAGGGTCCATCTCATTTGAGCTGAACTGTATGCCTAAGCCTTAGGTGGGGCACACGCACATAGGGTCAAACGTTGCTCTCAATTATAGCCAAATCTATTCACGCAACACACAGTGGAGTTATACCCATGCAAGCCACAGAGTTACATCCTTGCAACAGAGAGCAGGCCTGAGCTCCCCACATCCAAGGCAAGCTTCTCAGTAACGACACTGCATCTGATAAAGCCCGAGCCCCCTGAGAAGCGCTCGACGTGGCTCCCACCAAGACAAACACAAAGGCTGGCTCCCAGAAGCAGAGTCTTTGCAAAACTCAAGGTAACACTGGCTCTCATTGTTTCACCACTGCTTTGCTATGTCAAACATCTGTGTAGGCGGATGCTGCTTCCAGAGCACTGGCTGCGCTGTTAGCAGAAATAACAGGAGCTCCAACACATGCTTCCTACCAAGGAACAGGGGGTTCAGATGCCAGGCTTTGAACCTAGAGGTAAGGAGTGGGCAGGTTCACCCTCTGTTGCTTCAGCATGTGGCGTGTGGTCCACCATCAGACAAAAAAGTGGCATGATAGCCAAGGGGAAGCACCCTTGATGGGAGGTCTTGCCCAGTGCTGATGCTTTCCTCTGATGCAGAAAAAATAGCAGCAATAGGACAGAAAGCCTAAGATCCAATCAGCGTGCCAAGGCTCTTAAGCAGTATCCAGGTATTTGAGGCTAACGAGCTCCTATAGGCCACTAAGAAGAAGAGGGTTATGAGGCAGGTGCATGTGGGAATGAGAATCAGGTCTGAAGAGCTCATGTTGCAAGAGATTCATAGATTCATAGATTGGAGAGTCGGAGGGGACCACAACAGATCATCGTGTCCGACCCCCTGCCCCTGGCAGAAAGAGGACCAAGATGACCCAGATGGATGCGAAAGGGGACCGACTGGTGGGCAAGAAAAGCCACCATGGTGAAGAAGCTCCACATGGTGGAAGCTGTAAGCAAATACCAGTCCTACCTTGCCTTGGCTGGGTATGTTTTTGTGTGGAAGGCTATAATACTGAGGCCTCAGCAAGGCCCACAGATATGAGGATGATGGGAGCCATTTAAAATGGTAGATATTTAGAAAGCAAAAGGGGCAGGAGGTATACCTGCTTCTCAATGGCAACAAAAGTCTCATGTTGATCCCACTGGGACTTTTACGCTTGAAAGGCTCCTGGCAGATGTTCATTTGTTGTGCATTACATGAAAGTATCATGTGAGAAAATGGGGTCTGGGGTGGTTGCCACTAAGGCACATAGTTGAGAGCCCAGAAATCGCAAGTTCGAGGCCTTTAGCAGAAATGCTCACAGCAGGGTCCTATCAGCTTCCAACAAAACTGTGAATTCTGCTAAATGCCTTGTCACGAGGACATGAAAAGGAAGGAAAGATGTGACAAAACCATAACATGTCAGATGTTAAACCAGTTGATCCCTGGGCAAAAATGGTGGATCAGCCACAAAGAAATTGCTCATTGAAACAGCAATGTGGCTGCACGATATTTGCATGGAACATGTGATAAATGTAACGTTTGCCAGGGGCCAACCAGGCAACTTGTAATTTTCCTGTATCCTGTCTTACAAGGTGGAACTGCAGCACAGCATAACACAGAAGAGATGAAGAGAAGATGTGGTAGGACCCATCTGTTTGCAGGGTTAGGTACCTGACCCCATGGTGAAGATGGGGGCGTGCGAAGTAACTGGGTGCATACAGAGCCCCAGCAAACATCTGCATAGGACCATCAAGGTGCTCTAGCCATTTGATGTGGTTTTTTCCAATCAGCTCCATCAGGTCTCTGCCAAGCTCCAGCTGATTGGAGAAGCAGTGTCCTTTGGAGTAAAAAACCACAGCAAACAGCTCATTTGTATATTTGGCAACTGACTGTGAATTCAGAGACTCACTCAGATACAAATGATCCAGGTTCTAGCATCCTACCCCCCTGACTATGGCAGTACATGGTGGAGTTCATATGGTCACGAACCTGAATTGGTTTTACACGGGAAGCTTGGTCTGCCGAGTAAGGGGCCTGCTCAGACATAGAAAGCCTGGGTTTAATTCCCTGCTCCACCCCAAGCTCACTGTGGGAACTTGGGTAAGGCGCTTGACATGAGAATAATAGCAGTTTGTCTTCTCTTCAGATCACCCCAGAGAGGGAGTCCCTTAAAGTTGGTGAGATGAAAGGATACCATGGTGACACATAGCTAAAGGCATTTCCAGGTAATGATCCATACTGTCAAATCCCTAATTCAAGAGGTCAGTAAGACCATAACAAACTTGCTGGTATCCTCTGATCCACAGTGGCCTAAACTACAGTATGGAAGTACTAACCCAGGGCCAGAACCTCTTTCTGTTTCCATGGGGGGCAATCCTACCACGATCAACAGAACGGCCAAGGATTAACCCCATTATTTCTGTTCCTTCAGCTTCTACGGGAAATTCAGAACAATATAAGCAATAGATTGATGGCTGCAAACAGCTGATCTCGGACTTGAACCAGTGTCAGGGATTGGGTGTAAAATGAAAGGAAAATGTAGTACTAGAGGATGACAGGGGTATACTCTACAAAGTCCCAGTTCAATTCTAGTTTGAACTGGGTGCTATGCTCCTTCTACTGGTGTTCCTGCCGCTGTTTCATTCTTTTTTTACTCCTTGCCCTGCCCTGTTGTGTTGCATGTCATTTGGCATCTTCTGTGTCCCAAGCTAGAGTCAAGTGCATCCCAAGGACTCTTGTGATCCCTTCAGGACTACCCCGCACCCTATAAACATACGTGCTAGCAACCACCCCTAAACCGAACCAAAGAAATGGTGAAAAACTGCAAGAAGAAACACAACAGCTGATTCCTGGAAACAAGGATCCTGCTCCTCTCTATCACAATGAGAAGAGCTGGCAAAATACAAGCAAAAGCTGAGTTTAGAAGCAAAAATTTTTTTTTCTTTCTGTTTTACCCAGAAAGCTGTGAGCAGGTTTATCCTCCACCACTCGGATCCGGCGAGCACCCGCGGGGATCACAGCTGCTTCGATATAACCTAGGGCAACAAAAGGACACATGGATGAGAGTATCTCACACGCAATCAGAGGCATCCAGTAATTTAGTATCTCCTTGGCACAAAATAAAACCCCAACTCATTTTCATGTCTTGTGGATGGGAAACACTTCAAATGCAGTAACTGTTTTGGCAGCAAAGTTTCAATGCTGGGACTTGCACTGCTGTGACTAATCGCCGCGGCCTGAGGAGGGGGGAAAAAGACGTGTGCGCTCCTCAGCTGTGATTGCTACGGGTTGTGCTTGCGCCTAATTACACGTGCTTCTTGTGCACTGTTTGCTGCTCGTGTGTGGCATTGGCTGGAATATGTCAGGCACCTTCTAGAAGCTGAAGCAAAAAAAAGAGATTGCCAGCAGCAATGCTGTATGCACATCATGGGAAGGCAGCTGGCGGGCCTCTGAAATGACATTTGTGTTTGATGATTTTACCTAAAAAAAGTGATTGCTTTGCATTAAAGCCTGCATTTTAATCCATGCACTTAAGGGAAACTAGGAGGAGGGGTTCTTAACTAAACGGCAGGAGGCAAGGTTGAGGGCTGGTAGGAATATATTTATTTTCATTTGCATGTTAGGCCTTTGCGATTTACTGGACGGTGACCTCCTTCCCCTTAAATCAAGCAATTTTCTACAGCTGGGATTTAATACTATTGGGTGGTTGAAAAACCCTACAAGGCTGATCTCATTCACCATTAAATCCTACACGCCAAATCCATGAACTCTGTCCATTTAAACCCACTGAGCTTCTGACCTCCTACATTCTTAAGACTTTTCTACAGAATCCCATTGTATTGTTACAGAAAGTATTGGATTTTATTTTTATGACATTTGGCAGGGGCTTTTTTCCCCTCTCATTGGGGTTTAATGTTTAATTATGCAAGGGCTACCATTAATTTTTAACTATTTTTCATATCAAAAAAGCTGCCTGCTTGATGATGCTTTGAATAATTTATTGTTCCTAAAACCTCCTCACTGCAAAGGTGTAATTTAGTGGCAGCCTTGACTGAATTTTGGGGCCATTCACTTCTACATTCTGCTTCCACCGCCGAGGCTTGGACCTATATTAATTGAAATAATAAAGGAAGAGCAAACTTTTTTATTACAGCCAGTGTCAAATATGCAAGCCTACAGACCGTTGGTCATTAAATAGTCAGTGATACACTGCTGTAATAAGATGAGTTGGGGGGTAATTTAGAGCGACCCCGTACACTTCCAGTTCCAATGGTCCTGAACCCAAAGGGGCTGCAGCTATCAGACTGAAAAGCAACGTGCCCTCCCGTCTGCAATGCTCGGGTCTGGTTAGGCTGCTTTTGATTGCAGGCAGACTGCAGCATCACAAAAGCTGTCAGGTGGCTCTTGAAGTTAACGGGAAACGTAACCTAGGCTCCATCTGTACGGCGGGATCAGAGAAGCCAATGCAGAAACACGCCAGGGCCATCTGGGATTACACATGTTCCACGGGGTGGTAGCAATACCTTTAAAGCAAAGGCTGAAGAGCATTAAGGTCTGATTCAAAGCCCAGGAGCTGGGCCTGTGTCACTGACACTAATCTTGTTAAGACTATGATTGATCCCCTCTAATTGGCCACCCAGTTCATTTCTCAGTGTGGAGCTTGGCTCTTCCCATGGGGTTTTTTTTCCTCTCTCCCTCCCCACTACTTCTTTTAAACCATAAGTAATTAGCTTTACCTTCCGTGTTTGGTTTGTTTTAAATAGCGTAATTAGCTGGGCCCCTTTCTGAAAACAAGACGGCACCCTAGAGAAAGAGCCCTTGATGCCGGAGAATCGCTCAAGCTGGCTTATTTTAAGGGGAAATACAAATGACCTGCCATGGGTTTGCTACGTATCGGAGGGGAAACAGGCAAAAGAAAGGCTGCGCTGGCGGACTTGGCAAGCCCCACACTGCGGAAAGCGGTAAAATGGGGTGGTGGTGGGAATGGAAAGGTGAGGCAGGGCAGGGCTGATCACTTCACCCTTACTGAGACTCACCTGGGCTTTGCAAGGCATATTGAGTAGGGAGCTGATTTTGTCTGCTGGCATCACCTGCAACCCTGGGCTGTTACCTGTGGATTGCCATTTTGCACCTTTTCTTGCTTGCCTCTCTAGTCCCAACCCAGGCAAAAACTTGTTTGCTTCTCCTTGGGTTACCTCCCAAACGGGACATCCTCCCATGCAGGAAAAACAAAAAGAAAGCGGCAGCAGGCCAGCGAGCAGAGTCCCAGTGCTTGGGCCAGACTGATGAATTTGGCATTCTGCTAATTACAAAGCACGGTCTGTCAGGAACGACCACACCTTTAAGGTTTGGCTTCCACGGAGAGAACGCAATCCATGAAAATCAAAGCAAACAGATGGCGGACATTACCCTGCGTACTGCCAGGAGTTGGGTTTTTTCTTTTTGTTGGTTGAGATACTAAATTACATTCAGAGCAGCTCGTTCTAAAATGTCAGCTCTCTCTCACCACACCCCATGCATCTGCCCACAAGCCCAACCGGGAATTACTGTCAGGTGGAAACGCACGGCGAGGAGTGCTGAACGGCAGGCCCTCGCTGCAAATTGGTTCGGAAACACCAGGCCACCACCGCTAGGAAGCCGCTTTGGAACATGCCCAAGTTCTCGGTATCTGTCAATGTATTCACCCTGGCTTTTTGCAAATTGTGCACCGAATCAGAAACGCACAGAGCTAAGCTCCTAATCCAAATGAAATACTAAAATCTGTTGAAGGACTCCTAGCAACGTGGAAGGGCTTTGGCTCTTGACTCTTGAAGCTCTTCAGGTTTTGCTGATGCCACAAACATACTCTTATTTCACCGCTGTGGCACCGTAAAACACCACGGGGAAGCACTGCCTTGTGCTTGACTTCTCAAAAATGGCAAATAGCCGAGCTGAAGCTATTAATAGGCCTTTCGTTTGGGAGATTGTTTAATTTGGTCCTCTACCAGATATTTCTCTGCATGTAAGTTTGAATCCTGCCTGATGGCACCAGGGGTTGTATTTGCAGCTCCTGAATAAGAAGAAACACACTGTACTCGCTCACTGTGATGTATGGCACAGGACTGACTGCTGACTTTCTGTTTTCCTTCCGTGAACAAAGCAGAACTCTAAGCCCCTACATGCCGGTATGAATTTGAATTGTCCTTTCAAGGGGATGCAATATATTTCTCAGGCATGTCCCATAGAAAGCTCCTGAAGCTCTAAGTTGCAAATCCCAGCAATATTGCATACATTAGTGGCCAATTCCTATTGCAAATGCCCTACATGCATCACACATGCAAATTCACCACAAGCTCCAATAGATACCACTACTCCAGCCCCAGCTTGTGAGCCAGTAACATACTGTGGCTCAAGGGATATCCCTGATATCAGGCAAAACATCTCTCTTCCTTTTGTTTTTCTTTTGGAATGAACATTTTCTTTAAATTGTAACTGCAGATTGCCAGAAAGATTATCAGGTGTCAGGTAGTCAGCCCAAAACTAGATTCAGTGCTGGTCCTGATTTAAGAGATTCTCAAAGGTAGGCCTGGTGTTAGGATAATTGCTTGCAACGCTGTCGTTTGCAAGTGTGGGTTAAAACTCTGTTTAAATGGGGGAGCTGCTTAAATGCTGGTGAGGTTTGGCAACCATCAGGCTACATTTCGAGTAATTTCATCCATAACTCAGGCTTTCAAGATGAAGCTTCAAAAGTACAACAGGAGAACTTCATTAGTTGGTAATTTATAGAGCTATATGTACTGTACTCCACCTTAGGAACAGTTATTTTGGCATGCAACAATCTCTCTGGATAATCTGCATTACATCAGTGTCTCAGGAATGTAACGCCATGATTGAAGCGAATCCTAGATACAAATTATATGGTGTAACTTGTATTAGGAGAGACACCAGAACAAAGAGATGGCTTTGTCATCAAGCAGATTAATGTGTGTATAATGGCTACTGTATCTTCATGTGAAAGTTGGAGAGATTTGTGAGAGGAAAGCAAGCTCGCATAGGAGATCCCTTTGTTAGGCACAGTTAACAACGTCCAGAAAGAAAAGAAAGTTAGCGTGAATTTTAGCGTGGCAATGAACTACTATCAAATGGGTCTGCTAGGCTGCATCATACTGATGGATAAACTCTCAGGTGACGGGGACATTATCCCATGGCTGAAGGTGGTGATCTCTGGGCAAGATGCCTCATATCTTCCCCCCTTGACACATATCACAGTTTGGTGGGGCAAAGCCGGTATGCCCGCCTTATAAGCCAAATCATAAAAAGTCTCTTACTGAAGCAGATGGCCATGGAGAGTGGGCTCCCTACTTCTCTGCTGAACAGGGATAGCATACACCCAGCCCTACTGCCCCAGGGTCTCATTCTCTGTAGAGAGACACCAAAGACAGGGGCAGCCTGAGCAGAGACAGCGGTAATAATTGCATTGTTATCAAAGGATGTCGATACAAGCTGGAAGGAAGCAGCTGTTACATCTGCACGACTCTGTAGCAATAGAAGTGTGGCAGAACTGCTCCAACTTTAATTTTGCTCTATTCAGGGTCAACACTGGGACAATTTTGCTCACCTGCATTGCTACAGGATCATGCAGACATAGCCGTCAGAACAAAAGAGCTGCTGCATGTGTTTGCTCTTATCATCGGTCCCCATGGCCTTTAATTAGTGTCAGTGGTGCCAGTGATATCCACAAAGGTCCTCAACAATTAGTAATCCACTACTGTTCGCTTCTAGCCATGGGACAAAGGGCCTGGATGACAATCATTTCTTTGTGAAGCCATGGATACATTTCATAGCCTGCTGGCATTGCTATTGAGTGTCACATCGGTATTGTGCTGACTCCTCTTAAGCGCAGCCTGCTCTAAAGCCCACAAAGCTGTTCATGGTGCTCAGTGCTTCTGTCCTGTCCTCAGTATCCACAGGTTTATGCGATTAGCAGGATTAGAAGAAAACTGCTTCTTTCCAGAACTTTAGCCTCATCGCATTTCCTTTTTTTCCTTCTTCTGCAGAGGCACTGCAGCAAAGGGTAAAAATACTGGTAAAACGTTTTGGATTTTTTTCAGTATATTTAAACGGGAAGCTATTAATGAAGTGCAGTTTTCTCCAGAAAGCTATTGCTCCAGCAATCTGCAGAGCTGATTTGCTTCTTTTCTGCTATTAGAGGGCTGACTTAAATTTAAAGCCAAACAAGCAACTGGATTCTTTTGGGTTGTGGGACAAAGGCCATCAATGAAAAGCCTCACCTGGCCAAGAAAATTAATACAGATGCAGGCAAGAAAAAAGAAATAGTGCCTCGGATAGCAGGTCTCTAAGCAGTCTCAGGGTGGTCCCAAGTCTGGATGGGGATGTCATAAGAAGAAAATCATGGTAAACTGTCAGGGGTCCTTGCGCTTCCAAATTTACACTAGCCAGGTACCTGTCCCATTTATCGGTGCTCTACCTGTCCTTGGGAATGACGGCAGAGGGACAGAGATGGTCTTTAGAAAAGGCACTGTACTGAGAAAGGCATCAGGCATGCAGAACAAACCCATGAACACCCCTCCGAGACACTACAGACGGGCTGGCAGAGGCGTGATGCTTGATACACGAATGGTTGGGTTTCTGTCAGTATATAAAGAGGGACCCTTGTGTTGAATTCAGCAAGTTGAGCTGAACAGTAAAAGGCCTTGAAGTTTATCCATGGCTTTTTAGATGCTACAGAGTCCACACCCAGTCCAGCCAGAGGAGGAGCAGGACAGAAAACCAACACCAAACATCTGCCCGCTGACACTACACACATTTGGGCACCTTACATGAGAAACACTTGGGAACAGCCTTTGCCTTTGTCATCACACACGTGGAAACCTTCTTACAGTGACTACTGGTTACTGAGAAACAGAAAGGAGGGGACAGGGGTTCAGTCCCAGGAATAGGGCTTGGTGAGCAATCACAGGACATACAGGGGCTGACTCTGCAGACAACAGCGATCCGCGGAGAGAGCAGCTGCAGGATGTGACCCCAGCGCTGTGACGCGGTTCTCTGAACGGATAGCAGCGCTTCATAGCTCGCAGAGTCTCAGTGTTGCACGGATACTTGGTCTTGATGGCAGCACACAATGGCAGTCCACCATTCACTTGTGTAGCCATTTCAACACTCAGGGTATGATCTTTGCTGTCCTTATTCCACGTTGTTTGCTACATCTGGCCCCAAATTTAGATGCTGTAAAATCTTATTTTTTTTAACAAACATTTATTAAGCATCTAATTAAAAAAAAAAGCCCATTTTCCCTTAGCCAAATACATGTTCCCTTGGGGTGTCTGAAATCCAAACCCTGTAGCTTTGGGCCAACTCATCAGGTTCAGAAAGAGAAACTGATGAAGGCTCTGATTCTGCAATTTGTTTTCCAACTATTTAAGTCGGCCTAAGAAAAGGTATCAGATTCACCCAAAGAACCTCGTCTGCCTGATTCTGCAAAACATTTACGTGGGTGTGGAAATCAACGGGACTAACTCACATGGCATTCAACTTTTGCACAACTGGGGCCTGGAATCATACTAAACCAAAAGGCAATTTTCATTGTCTGCGCTGAGAGAAAGGGAAAAGAAGGGCGAGCATGAGCAGCAAAACATTTAAGAATCAGGGCGTTCTTTCAGTTTCAACAATTTTAGGCGCTCTGAGTAAAGAAGCAGTTTCCAAAAGCGCAAACAAAAATAATCTCTAACCAAGAAAATACGTTTTTGGCCCCATCAAAGCTCTTACTGTTTCTGGCTATTTTCACACTAAAATGTAATACAGTTCCCCTCCCCACCCCGCGAGAAAAACAACACAACTACAGCACCTCCTAAGACAGAGCACTGGCTGAACAAACGTGTGATCTTATCAACCTATAGATTTGTACAGAAACATTTGCAATTGTGAAAATACAAAAGGCAACCATTTCTGCTCCTTGGATATTCCATAAACTATGAAGGCGTAATAAATACCCAAAGGCTGTAATTTTAGTGATTCAGCCTTTCCTTCCTATTGTGATCACAGAGATGGGTGAATCCACTCTATACTCAGCTGGTTGACAAACAACAGGGGATTTCAATTTCTACCTGTCGCCCCTGAGATAAAGTCATTGAGAGCTGCCTGTCCAGCTGAAAACAGGCACGTGTCACTTCAGAAACGGGGACTGGGATCTAGCAGATCGTTATTTATCTAGGCTGTGGCTTTTTGGTGCATGACGTTTCATGGTGATACTGATTGTGAATGACAAAAGGGAGCTTTCCCTTCAGACGCATCTGAGGTACACCCATGTTGGCAGGTATGCACATTTGAGATGCACGTATTTACAACACTAGAGAAATAGAAACCAGCTTTTCCAATTAAAATGACCAAGATTCTTTTTTTTTTTTTGCCAGTTCCTGCAAAACCTTGGAGAAACAGTGTGACAGGGAAATAAGTATAAATTTGTTGATACCCAAATAATTGTAGGGGAATTTTTGCAGAAGATGGAGCCGTTTCAGTGCTGGCCTCAGCACAAATTTAGTGATGTAGCGCACGTTCCTGATTACAGACACTGCATGTCTGGGATAGCTACTTCAGGTCTCTTCTTTTCCAGCTGCAAAGGAGGGTGCAATATTTGTGATGTGGTCTCAGGCCTGACTCTTAAAGTATGCTAACAAAATGAAGGCATCACTACAAGGCAAACTCATGGCCCCACGTGCCTGGAAGCTAAATGGGACATTTAGCACTGGGCAGTAATAAATGCAGCCTGGAAAGCAGGCAGGAGACTGGCCTGACAATGCAATTGCCAAAAGGAAGTCCAGAAAGTGGTAGGGGAGCCCCTGGCTCCCTGTCCCTCAAATGTGGAGAGAGGTGTCAGCTGCCATCATTAAGATATTCTGAGCATACAAGATCATCTGGACCATAGACAGGAACGCTCAAACCGCTGAAAGCAATTGCCCCTCCCAGAGAAGGCATTTTAATTAAGCAGGATTTCCCCACTTCTTTTATGTTAATAATTAATATGGAATGAACGGCCCGTTTTCTTGCACTTCAAATGACACAACAGCTGATCTCTGGGTCTGGGAAGAGCCGGCAGACAGACTTCCAACTACAAACTCACTTGTTTTAACTCAAAGGAAAGCAGTTAAAGGACCTGAAACTGCAAATGGCTTTGTATAGCACCCTGTACCGTTCTGCCGCTCCCCCTCTCGGGAGCAGCTTAATGTCCAGCAGGACTGGATCCTGGCAGAAACTCTTCTTATCAGATCATTAAAATGACTAAAATTACTAATTAAAATTAAAGACATAAAGCAATAAGCTTACATAAAGATTTGCTTATTCTCACGCATCTCTACATGGATTCATTCTCAGATTTATCCCAGCAACACAAATCCAGCTGTTGGAAAGATCAGCCTAAAAACATTACAGAATCGCCATGGAGGTAATAGGCACGACTTGGGTTCTCCAACTACATTACTGTCCGCAGAAGCAGAATGGCACGAACAGCCAACGCCTCTAAGGGACGGGAGTTATGGGTACCTCGTTTAGCCCCGGGATGCCAGGCAGGTGAGATCTAAGGAGAACACCCCGCTCTGTGGAAATCCGGCTTGATGCTACTCACCCATTCCCTTGGTGTGATTGAAATCGCCTTTCACCACTTTGCAGGTTTTGCCATCACCGCTGCAGATCCCACAGCGATCCTCTTTGGCGGCTGAACCGATGATCCCATCGCAGCCGATTTTCTAATGATAACAACCAGAGGTCCTCATTATTTCGAGTGCAAGGCTAAAATGTCTCTAAACCAGGCTGAGCCCCGGATACACATTTGATTGCAAACCTGAACAGGAAAAGAAGGCTGTGTGTCAGGAAGGCGTTCAGCTGGGATGGCACTGGGTTGGTTATTCAGCAAAACACTCTTGCTTCATTACCAGTATGACTGTGCTACAGAAGATGCACCCAGTAGTGGATCCAGGAATGGGATGTGGGGGTAGGGCCCCCCACAACCCTATCTTGGTTGGGCTGCACATGTGGAAGAGCTCTGAGCTCGCTGTCCGGGCAGTGCCGGCTCCTGCCAGGGCTCTGCATGAGCAGTGAGCCTTGAGCTCACCAGCTGGTCGGGGGGG